GTGGCGGTTGACTGAACAGTCGGTCGACATCCAGGCCTCTTTAATCTGCCTTCACGTGTGATCATCACCTCGGCCACAATTTCTTCAAGAAGAGTCAGCCTCGTGTTTACCTTCTGCCAAACAATTTGAAATAAGCTCACACTTGTGCTTACCTTCCAAGAACCTAGGCCAGCAATAGCGGTAAATTTTCCGAATTGTATGATTTTAACGCCTATTCGATAGTTGCTGCTAATCCTCCCTTCAGTTTTCTGCGTTAAAGGTCAACAAAGTAAAGTAGATCCTTTATATATGGATACTTGTGTCACATTCAAATACGTACATTTTTTGGTTTGTCTTTTAACTCCCCTCCCCCCATAAAGGTTAACCACATACCAAATTGCGGTCTTCTAACCAACAAACTTGGTATGCTCATGAGTCTTCGACAGTATGAGTATGCCTGCCGAAATTCCTCTACGGGTCCTAAAAAGAATTTTCTACTGATGAAGGACTTTGTGCCGGAAACCTACTGCGTTGACGATATGCGGGATCGCGTTCAATTTCTTTCGACTCTGACAGGTCTGTTCCTTGGCACCAGAGATTCCCGTCTGTTACCTTTATCCTTGACATTCCTAATCTAAAATGTTTCTGATGAGTTTGGGAGGGCAGGAGAATGGGAAAGGAGAGAAATACTTGAAAAAATTACATCACCAATGCCCTATAAAGCCACCGTAGTTAATCGAGCTATTCATTTGTGACAGAAAATCTGTAAATAAAGGCGTCGCGCAAGTGCTAGAGGAAAGCGTGATCGGGCAAGCTCCAAAACGGATCAGTGGAGTAAGTTAAGTATGTTGCATCTGGACATTAACAGGATACTTGCGTAAACTTACTTTCAGCGTTATCATTAGAAGTGCGAAAACCGGGCGGTTGAGACATGTTTCTTGTTCCACTTCAGCATCTTTGCATCGTTGTACATTTCTATTCCGTAGAGATGTCGTAAAAAGCTTGTTATGAAAACAAAACTCTAAATATTTGTCCAGCAAGCTGAGGCTCTATGATAAAACTTAATTATTAACGTCTACACGATAATTTTCGGTCCAGTGGAAACTTTGCATGCATCCAGTCCTATGACCTCATAACCTTTTGTGAAGATAAGCCGCTCTAAAAATTGGAATAACCGTAGAACTGGGGCTAAAAGAGCAACACAGACCCCAGAGGTTTTGGTATTGAGGCTGGTTGAAATAAATCAGTGCAATCCGATAGTTGATACGGTCTTTTTCTGCTCTTTTTCGGTTCCAATGTTGCAAATACTTTTGACCTTATTATCATTACCACAAACTATTTACTAATTCTAGACAACCACTTCAAGACTTAATGAATTACTGGCCATGAATTAGCCTTCGTTTTCATGGTATATACGGCCAGGTTAGGGTATGTAGTCGGGTATCTTTAATATGCAGGACTCACTACTACATTTATTTAAGTAGGTGCTGCTTAGTTAGTCTCTTTTGCGGTTAGGGTAAGGGGTGAGGGCTAAAACCCTGCATCCCCATGCCACACCTGTACAACCTGAGGCGACCGTTAGACACCTTCCATTAATTATCTTTTGATGACTCCACCTGCGTACCATATTCTCGTCGTAGACAAAGTTGAAATAAACTTTCAGTTGGCACATTTATTGATTTAGTAGAAATAATTTTCAGTATGAGTCAGGTTATTATAATGCCCAGGACGGATTTATTTCGTTTTAGATGGTCAAGTGTGGATCTACAAGCCGAGTGGGATGAACCAAGGCAAGGGCATCCAATTGATCAGAGGAAAGGGTGATTTTGAAAGACTTCAAGAAGACTGCGTGGAAGAGTGGCGTCGAAACCCGGGTACTGTTCGACCACGCATACTTCAAAGGTAAATGACAAAATTTAGTTACTGAGCAGTTACTGTATATACCTCTTAAGGTTTGCCTTCACTTAAACTGCTCCAAAGTCCATTAGTATGGCACAGGCGTCATCCGCTATCAAAAGAAGTTCGCCGCCGTAGATAGGCCCATGCAACATTTTAATTTTTTTCCAAAAAACACCTCCTTAAAAATCTTGTATGTATCTCCTTTTACCAAAGGTATATTGACCAACCTCTACTGCTGGAAGGAAGGAAGTTTGATATCCGATGTTACCTACTTATTGCCAGTGCCATGCCCTTCTTGGTCCTTTTCCATCCCGGCTATGTTCGCGTCTGCACACGCAAGTACGATGTCAATAGCTACGACCTCCTAGTGCATCTAACCAATCAGGTAAGGCAATGATGACACTCATTTCAATTTTGTAATTTGGTGGACTGCAAACCCTCTCTCTTGGTAACTGGGTCCTTCGCTCGCAACCTTTACAGTATATCCAGAAGAAGGACCCAAACTATTCTAAACTCAAGGAAGACACGGTTTGGAGCATGGACCGCTTCAACGACTACGTTAATGCCAACTATCTTGAAGAAAAGAAAATTGAGCAGGATTGGGTAAAAACGACACTCATGGCAAGTTCTCTGCTAATATTTTTAATACTCAGAGGTCTTTTGATTTAATTTAAACTTTAAATGTGGTTAGTCGAGGTTTTTGACTAAATTTGAAAAATTTGCCAACTCTTGTAACCACTGTTTCTGCATTTGCTCTGTGTGAGACGTTCTCAGAAATATAGTCCGTAATTACTTTGCCGCAGATTCCTCTATGCTTATCGCGGTGACGGTGGATGCCGCCGTAAATTTTGTAATTTTTATTATTATTTCCTTTACTGGAGACATTTCTGAGCTCGAACGGCAAGTAAGGAAGTTTCGACTTTCCTACATCCTGTCACGTCAAACATTCGCCGTTCAGGCTTACGATAGCATTTTCTTTTTTCTGTCACTGGCCTTAGTAAAAAAAACCATAGGATTAAAACTTAACGTAAGTTGGTCTTGTACGCACAAAAAACTCGTACAACCTCTGCTCTTACCATGTTCAAAGGCCAATTACCTGCGTGCAACTCTCCGCTCCCTCCCACCCTCTCCTCCCCCTGGCTCTTGCTCTTCATATTTCTCTCTCCCTCCCCCAACTCTTAGCCCTTCCCCACTATTCCCAAACCCAAATTGCGCGCTAAGACTAACGTCAATCTATTTTAAAGTTGCAAAAATGCCCATCAGAGACTTCAGTCGGCGGTTGGTGAGCCTACGCAAGCTTTTGAAAAATTCTCATCGGGCCAGTACATTTATATGGAAGCTGGATACAGGTTAAAACATGCTCGTTTTTTCATACAAGTGAATCGCCGGTATAGGGGAGGGGGTGTTGGGTTTTGGGATGGATAAGCGAAGGCTGGTCATGTGACGGTGAGGGTTTGGTGGAGAGGTCCATTGGGGGGGAGGGGGGGAGGAGAGAAAGACAGAGCGCGGATGCGGCCGTCGGTCATGCCAGGCGCGGACTTGGCAAGTCCTTTTGTGCACACAAGGCCGCTTCCCTCAATCTGATAGCACTCGCTGACCCAGCGACTTTTGGTAGTTTATGTGGATTCTGAATAGTCGAAAATATGCGAGGCCCAGGTAATTGAATAGAAGGCAGGAAGACGCTCTCTGGGACCAGTATTGTATTTGCCCGACGTTTCGGACTCTCAGTCGAGGCCATCGTCAAGACATGAAAACGTACAGCTCGCTGCGTGATTAATTCAACTGTCGTGGGTGACCTTGAGTTCCCATTGTTCGCTCCTCCACGAGTGACCTTGAGCCCTGACATTGCTCGCGCAACGCGAGATAGGCATCTGGGAGATCGATATGGCTATTGATAGAGTCCGCGTGCGAGTGCCATGCCTCCTGCAAGAGGCGCAGACTCGAAAATCACCGAGTTAAATGCATACTACTTGTGTAATCATTTTTACAGAGTTTAGTTCTGCTTCGCGGTCGGAAAGAAGCTCATTCCAAAGTCAGTATACTGACGTGACTGAGAGAATTTAGGATTAGGCTGCACGATAAATAACGGCAGAACCTGTCTTAAAAAACACTTTTTTCAAATCGAAAACGCATTTCTGAATTTGAGGTCGACATTTCCTGAGACAGTAAATTTACTGGAGAAAGCGTCGCGAACAGCTAACTTGCGCTCATGTGCTCTGCGCAGTCAGTTCTACCAAACAGGATTCTCGTCCTTGATTGGCGCATCTATCGTGGGGTGTTAAGGCCAATAGATTTTGACCCCTTACAGCTGCGATCTTCCGGACCCGGTTAGGTAGGAGGAGCGAAAAGTCACGAAAAGGCCAGCCTGCTAGGAAGAGTATATTCTGTACAAAATGAATGGGAGAATAGGCAGTAGGAAACTGACTGTCAGACAACCGCAAGCCAACGGACGGTGTCTGAAGTGATGTCTACTCGGCAGTCGTCACATGAGGTCCTGTGTGAGTTGGCCTGTGATTGGTTGTTCTAGAAGCCGGAAGCAGAAAGCGTTCCCAAAAGGCACTTTGACTTGAGCTACTTACGACAAGCGTTCACAAGTGCACTTCGTGTGGAGCTAGTCACGACACATCCACAGCGCTGCCCCTCTTTGAACCACACAGTAGGCTTTCAGCAGCTTTTATGGGTTTCAGGGTT